CTGTTCCATCTCAGCTGTAGAAGGCAGTGTTACTGGCCCTCATGTGGGATCCGAACCAGGGCCCCGCTGCACAGAGCTGGCGCCCAAGCCAGCTCCCAACCAACGCGCCACTCGGCCGGCCCAACAGCTGATCTTTTACACATCATACAATTACCAAGTTCCTATTCGAGAAACAGACGTCACCATTTTCATGGAATAAGAAAAACAGAATACTTCATGTCTTTAAATTACTTGTATGAATAGCCACATCAAAAATATTTAAGGAATAATTTTTGGCCAACATTTCAAAGGACTTCAAAAGAGGTACTAGAAAGGAAGAGTTACAACTGAGAATTATATATCCAAAATGTGATTTGCCAACAGAAGAAAAAAATCAACAAGGTGTGCCTTTGCCAGCACTACATGTAACATACCCTCCCTCTTTCATGCCTCCATTCATACTACGAGTACAATGCTCTTCATCCTTCCATGCCTGGGAGCTCTTTTCTGGAATCCATCTTAGATGTTATACTCCTGATAAAGACTATCCTGTTCTCACACGATGAATTTATCACTACTTTTGATGTTTCCGACTGTGCTTTTTCAGACTATCACATGACATATATGTCTCTTATATGACAGTTAACTGCTTTTGTGTTTGACCTCCTAGCTCCAGCATTATGGTTATAATAGGCACTCAATAGATGCTGGTTAAACAATTATATCAATATAATGGAGGGAATGAGAATATTTGTTCTTAAAAAACATCTGTCTGGAAATAAGATGATGAGAAAGAACACCAATATTTTGAGCAAATCAATGTCATTACCTGGTCAGGGAAAGTCCAATTTCATGTTCAAATGCTATTCCTTCCTAACAAAAATTTTTAAAATAATAGTTTTATAGGGATATTATTCACCTTGTATAAGGTTTTTAATGTATTTCTAAAAGATGTCCATTGTCACACTGAAAAATTCTCATATATTATTGAGGGTTCTGAGCAATTCATTCATAAATCAGGTTAGGGACTTGCATGCCACTGGAGAAACTGCTTCTTAAATATAAATATTTCAAGAATTTGAGAAAACAAAAATGAAAGTTAAAACCAGTAACATGGTTGTAAAGACACAAAGCATTGCTTAACCTTGCAGAAAATAATTTCAAATTCTTTCATGCTTGTACTAGGAATAGTTTTTGTTACTTTGCTTGTAAAACCCTGAGGAATGCATGAACTTGAGAAGGGAATACTATAAAAAAATGAGACTTCTTCACTTTAGAGAAATGAGCTTAAAGGGAATATGGTTTAAGACAACAGAACCACGTTCTTTCAATTGTAGAAACTGGAAGTAGGCCTCATCTACAAAGAGTACATTTCTGTGAAATGTGAAAGGATTAAAACAAACAAGGAAGTTTTTACATATTGCACAGCACAACTGATGGGACTAAAAATGTAACTATGATAAAAAAGAATTTAGATACACAACGTGCAGAGGACATGCTCTGCCTCTGAGGTGAAGTCAGTCAAGGAAGAAAATCTATGCTTTTTTTGTGCCAACACTAGAAATAACTTTGGGCTAGAACTATAAAAGCTCTCTTCTTATATTAGATAAAGGAATTATAAAAAATTCTTAGAAATCAAATAGCCACAAGGATCTTTTCTTAACAAATTTCTAAAAGTATGAATGTTGAAGTTGAATTATCATCCGCTTACCTTTGTGATGAGGATTCGGTATTTTTCTACCAGGTGGTCATTGTTGTGACAACCTGCCAGCAGCTGCCAGACTTCTCCCCGAAGAGCTTCGGGAACACCGCTTCTTACTAAGGACGACAACTGCTTTGGTCTCACACTCAAGTTGAGATGCCTAAAAATAAAGCCATAAGCCAGAAGTGCATAAAAGAAAGATTCCACCAAGAGTGCTATTTCTATGAAAACTAAACTACATGATTTACAAAGACTTAATAAAGGTTACATACTACTACTAATAATAAAAAGATAAAGCTGTTAAATTAGATACTGCCAAGATAACTGTAAAAGATTGGGTGAGGAAAGAATTCTGCAGTCAGACTATTCCTAAGTATCTTTAATTTATTGCTCTACTTTTTTTTTTTTTTTAAATAAAAAGCAAAACTGGAAACCATAGCTTTATGGTTGTGGCTTATGTAAGGTAAACAAAGCAAAATTCCCACCACTACACACACAGCCAAAGATAAGGGCTTGGCCTTGCATCAAAAGTGACAAACTGTGTACTTACATACTCTATGTTAAAATAAATATTTGTTCTAAGTTAAAATAAATATTTAAAATAAATACAAAAATAAATGCTTTCAGCAGTTTTTATGATACCTTGCTTCAAGTGATTTTTGAGTGACTATGGTGATTAAGACAGTTTCTACTACACAAAGTGTGATCAAACAATACAGTGAATGTTTAAGTAAAAAAATTTATTACAGTAAAAGACACATTGCCATTAACCCCCCTCAAAATACTCCCCCTTGCTTCGAATACACTCATCCCATCATTCTTGCCACTTTCTGAAGCAATTCTGGAAGTCCTCTTTCGTGAGTGTCTTTAGTTGCACTGTCGTGGCTGCTACGTAATTCAAGGATTAAGTACACTATGGCCTGTGGGACAAATCCAGTCCACCACCTGCTTCTAAATCAACTTTTAATGAAACGCAGCCACTTTTATTTGTCTATTGTCTATGACTGCTTTTACACTACAACAGCAGAAGCGAGGGGTTGTGACACAAACTACTGGACCACAAAGCCTACAATATTTACAGTTGGCCCTTTACAGAAAAAATAAATCTAACTCTAGGTTTATTTGCTAACACTAGCTTACTTTATATTGGTAGAATTATTTTCAGAATAATTTATGTCATTGACACTATTACCTTCATCCAATTCAGATACTATTTTATACTAACATTAATTCTCTTACCCATTAAAAGTCACATTAAAGTGAATTTGGAGAATTAAAGCTCAGAAGTATTATTACTGATACTGCCACGAAAATCTAACGTAGAGTTAAAGAAATCAGCTTTGGGGTTGGAATTTAGATTGTGTTAAAAATTCTGGGCCTGCCATTTACTACCTAGAATTGCTGCTGACTTAATCTCTGAGCCAGTTTTCTCAACCGTAAAAATGGACACTAGTTCCTAAGGTTGTTACAGTTGAGATACTTAGCACAGTGCCTGGCATATAGCAAATTCACTAGTTCTTACGACAATTATTACAACATCCATTATTTTTAATCTACAATAATCCTAAATGGTAGTTTTATAGACTTGTGTTTTGTAAATGAAGCAGCAGATTCAGAAGCGTTAAGTGACTTGCCCAAGACCATACAGCTTAAAAGTAGGAAAGGTAGGCTTTGAAGCCAGGCTCTAACTTTCCATGATATTGTGATGCTTCCTATGTATAGAACACATATAATAATGATAAAAAATATATAATGAAATGAATTGAGGAGAAACGGTATTATTATTTCTGAAGACATGACCAAAACCAGCAAAATAGTTTTAAACACCCTGAGGACAGTTGAAGCAGACAGAAGCTCAGCTAATACATTTGAGAGGGAGAAGGACATCGCTTAATTAAGTGAATAACAAAATGAATAAGCAGAGCTTAATAACAAAACAAATTCCAAGCAACCATATAAAATGCTGGTGAGTTCATCTAATAAAATCTGGAGAAAAATGCTCTATCTAAATGGTTTTAAAACACTATTATATAACCATTCAGGCCTAAATTACATTTCTATTTTAGAGCAGAAACCGTTTTATACAGATGAAACTCCTGCCAGCAACAGTCCACACACTGTGAATTCACGAACTGAAAATATAATTGTGACAAAAGCATCAGCAGGTTTGTCTCCTGATTGCTAAAGGAAGATAAAAAATAAATGAGAACTATTCCCCTGGGGGGCTTTGGCAGAGTTCATTTATTACAACCACTTATGTAAAGACAAACCATGCTTTGGTTGGCATTTTCCTCCTATACACATTTGACATTTCCCAGTGTGAGTAGCGTTCTACCCAAAGCCTAAGTAAGGCCTTATGAGAGTGCTAGAAGCAGATGATGCCCGTTTGTAGTCTGACCCGTGAAGGGCACGAAGTTTTTTTTTGTTTGTTTTGTTTTTATTGGGGAATTAGGGGAAGGGGAACAGACAAGTTGCTGTCGTTTTGTTCTTCAGTCTAGTTGTGGAGGATGTTGCTTCACTGGCCCAAGTTGGCACCATCATTGCGCCTCTTCCCGGGCGAGGCAGATCAGTCGCCGGCTTTTGGACGGCCGCTCACAGCAGCTGCTGGCCGCTCACCCTGGCTGCTGGCTATACACGGTAGCCCATGGCAACCCACTGCCATCGCCAGCGACTCACGGCAGCCCAGCTCCAAGTCGAGCTGTTGTTCAGCATCTTAGCTGTAGAGGGCAGTGTCACTGGCCCTCATATGTGGGATCCGAACTGGGGCCCTCTGGCGTCCCAAGCCAGCTCTTAACCAACGCGCCACTAGGCCGGCCCACGAAGTTTTTTTAAATGCTGAGACACAGTTTTACTAACAATAGAGCAAAAGGCTTCAACAGTTAAAACTTCTGAGAAAAATCAAATCCTAAGTAACAGGCCCATGGGACGCTTATATGACAACCCTAATACCCAGGAAGTCTGAAATAGACAAATGTTCCAATCAGTTTCAAGCTCAACTTTTTTCAGCATATACTGACATCCCACACAGAGGAAAACAGGAAATGACATACATGTCTCACCAAACTGACTTACCAGAGTGTCTCTGGTTTCATGAACAAATACCTGATGGTAGTGTATTATTTTTCAACAGTTTATAAGACAGTGCTTCTTAACACTGTTGTCAAGCTAGCTCTTGAGCTGATGAGAAATTCCTGAATTTTACAAGTGTTAGTAGGAAAAGTAAATGGAAGAGCAGTTAATATATACTGTGTTTATAACATTCTGCTGTTACGTGAGGTACAAAACACAGATAATGAAAATCCCCCCAAGGGTCTCTTCTGTGGCTCTGTGCATTGTGTGAACAGCTCTACACTTCACTGATTACTGGGTATCATCTTAACTGCTGTGTATTATCTTAATCAGTCAATGGTCCCAACCTCTTATATATAAAGGACCTCTTTCCTTATTTATTCTCACCATGGATTCCATGTTTGAATAAATATTTTCTGCAACAATGAGAATTGATTAGGTTTATGAAATTCTAAAAGCTGATTTCAAATCTTCATTACTATCGTCATACACCTCTAAAAACAGATTCTAGAACATGAACTTCCTACTTTGGTTTCTATTATTGGTTCCAAAATTGAACATTATAGTTAGAGAAGACACCCTACCCATAAAATGAGAAATGCGGATGAAAAGGAGAACTACTCTAACTTACCATTTTGACAGCAGTTCTCCCCATGTTTCAAGAATTTTTTCTGCACATTCTTTGGATACATCACCAGATCCACTCAAAAGAGGTTCATCGTTATCTTTAATAAACAAAACACACAAAAAAAGATAACAGAGGTGGCTATGCTAGCCAGAAGAATGACATGGAAAGGTAATAGTCAAATTTGAAAGATTTTACTGGTAGCATAAAGCTGTAATTTATAATTTCTCTTTTAGTATACAGGTATAAATACAAAGAAAATAAAAATGGTCCTAGGTGAAATGCTGTTCTAATCTCTTTCATTCTCTTTTGCTTTCCAAACAGGTCCTCATTATGTCAACTGCAGAAAAGAGCCTTTTAATTATAAAATGATAGGACTCAAAATATGGCATGTTCTCTCTCCTTTTCCAAAGCAAAAAGGCTTTATACATGAAAATATACAGAGTCTTAGTTACAGTAGTTTACAAAATTACAAACCACCTAAGTGTTCAACAACAGGAGTAGAGAATGGCTGAATATTGTGTTTATAATGTAACTGAATGTTTACATTTGTTTACATAATGATATGGCAAAATGCCACATAAAATAAAAATCTCAAGTGCTAAATCTTCATTATGATCTAATGTATGTTAAAAATAGCAAATCGTCTGGAATGAACTATGCTAAGGCATTAACAAGTACTGCCTCCAAATGGTGAGGTTACAATAGATTTTTTCTCTCCTTCATGTTTTCATGCCTTTCTAAATTTTCTACAATGGCATACACTACTTTACAATAAAAGCACAAAAATATTTTAAAAAACCAAAATGAATCATTTCATATTTAATTCAAGTAATTAGGAGAAGTAAATGTAAATGCTAATTTAAAGACTGTAAGATAAGAAGACAGTGAATAAGTGACACTGATAAAGGCATGTGAGAGGCACTGAGAAGTGTAATGAAAATGGGGGGAAAATAAGGACTAAGTAACTACTTAATCTTTTTTTTTTGTTGGACACTTGGGGAGTTTTCAACTTTTTGCTACAAATAGAATCAGGATGAACAGATCTCACTGCTTTCATTGGGTGTATGCCCGGAAGTGGACTTCCTGAGTTAAAAAAACATATACTTTTAAGGATTTTGAACCTTACTGACAAACTGCCTTCCAAAATGGTTTTACCAATTTATATTTCCACTAGTTGGGTACAACAGTACTTGTTTCCATGTGTCCTCACCAAAGCTGTTTCCAGGTTTTTTTATTTAACTTGCCTAAACAAAGTTTGGAGCTTTATACACCTGGTGATTAAATCATAGATTTGCATCCCTACTAGAGATAGAAATGATCAGAGAGCACTGATATTAAAGGCTCTGCAATCTATGATACTTATTATTAAACTTTATTACATTATAATGTCTTAGACACTATCATTAGTTTTGATGGTAAGGTAGGGAAGAAGTCAAGACTGAATGTAAATGAGAACATCTGTAGATGAATGAATAAGCAAAAGACAAAGAAAGGCTCAGGGCACTAAGATAAACTTCTACTTTCTATTTTGCCAGAATTGGCCCTACTTTCTAATGCCTCAACTAATTCTCTTCTACTCATTAAAATATCAATGTAATACAACTCTGGGGTGAAAGCAGCTATAAAAAAGGCACTAAAATTTACAAGAGATGACAATTCCTTCAAAGAGATTACAAAGACCTATCATAAAACTCTCTTTTACTGTTTTGGATGCTTTCAACAATCTGGATAAGTAGTAGTTTAAAATTGGTGTTTTTGACTCCATGTACCTAAGGTAAGGGTACGGGTGGGGAGTCAGCAGGCAATGTGAGTTTCAGAATGTTGTTTCTGAACATCCCCCCAACCCTGCTAACTGCTGGCTTCCTGCCGGAGAGCATAAATGTCCTATGGATAAGGAGTCTCTCTAAAGGACCGTAGCCATTTCTTTCCAAGGAGTGAACAGATCACAATAGGACCTGTTCCCTGGTTTGTATACTGGGTTAGAGAGAAATAAATGATGACACGGCTGCAGTCTTCTTTGGTTCCAGTTAGCATCTACCACATCCCAGGAATTGTTCTACACTAGGGAAATCATGTGGGGCAAAAAAGGACACACTCGCTTCCTTTCCAAAGCTTGTGTTCTAGCATTCTCTGAATCTCTCCCAATGCCGTTAGTCCTCATCTCTCTCTAGTTAAGAATCGTTAAGTAAAGGCCTTTGGAACCCCCTCAATTATATTTTAAAAAATCTATGCCTACTATAGGCTAGGAACTAGATGTCAGTCCTAATGGCATCCTTTAGCTGGGCCCAAATTTCTTTGTAACTGATATTCTTTAAAATGTAGAGTATGGAGATTAGAGCATTCTCTGGTTTCATAATCAGTAGTGTCTTTCTCAATTTTTGGTGGTGTTTGTTTTTATTGCTTAGCTTAAGAGGAGCAGAGTTCTGTAAACTCTTACTTGCTTTGCCACATTAAGCAGTGTTGACCTAGAAGGGAAGCTGCAATTCTCAAGACCACCAGTTATACAGCAGACAATCTCAAACGAGAGAAACAATTCATTCTTGCCAGCTTTAACACAAGGCTTGAATTGGCTCTGGAGGGAGAATCGAAACTGTCTCTGTGACTTCTTCAAAAACGATACATGCTCTCTTTGCACTTCAAAACACAAATGCTTTATGTGAACTAAATGCACAGCAATGATGACAGAACAGAGCTCAGACTGTTAACTCATAGACTTGGATTAAAATCCTCCCTGCCGATTTCTAGCCATGTGACCTTGTGCAAATTTGCTTTAGTGAGATTGTATTTCCTTACGTGCAAAATAAGGATAATAATAAATCCTACTTTGGGGGGGGGTTTGTTAGGATTATATAAACATAGCATTATTTTACTTTATAAACAAAGTGCCTGCCTACCACATATTAAGCATCTAATAATTGGTGGCCATTAGTATTACTAATAAATGATCCTCAGTTGATTAGTCATAGAAATTACAGGGAACAGTGGGAAGTGGAAAGTCAGAGTTTGCTCTAAACTTGAAAAACATACATCTAATCATGGATATGTATTACTTTTAACCTAGTCAATCATTCATGCCCCTCCATGCCATTGTTAAAGCAACTTCTTCGCCAGCAGTGCCCAGACCAGCTCACATACCCCGGTGAACTCTCCTTGCACTTTAAAAGTCTCAGCTCAAAAATTCATGATGCCCCACCACATTCCCCACCAAGAAAAACGATTCTCTTCTGTGAACCTCTCAGAGACACATGCTTCATATGACCTTCTATCAGAATCAGCTTTTTTCCCCCGTAAAAAATAAAGCCCTGGTAAAAAACTATAAATTAGAAATGCCTCCCAAACTTTCATTTTTTCTGTGCTCCTTTCCTCCTTTTCCCACTTCTATGTAGCATATTTTAATAGAGATCGACAGACCAACAAATTAGTTCATAGTGTAACCATGAAAAAAAGAGAGACAAAAACCCAGCTGGTTGATTCCTAATGTGTATCAGTGTAAAAACCCAATAATGTATAAATATAAATTTGTATATTTTTATATATTTTGTGACAGGGTCAAATGTGGAAGCCACTTGGCAAATGAACTTGTCCCTATAAATCAGATGAGACAGAAACATTTATTTAGGTGGATGCTCTGTAAAATTTGCTCTAAAAATGTGCTATACACTAAGCTAGCATTAGACTAAATCTTTAAAAAAGGACTAAGTATAAATCTCATTTTGTCCAACTCGATTACAATTATCTTAAAGAAGGTCCCGCGTTAATCATTTCTGAATCTCCCACAGGCCTCTGCATACAGTAGACTCTCTGACGTATTTACTGAAAGAATTTCAAATGCTATGTGACATTATCAATTCCCTGATAAGATTACAATAGTCCGCGTGGTTCTCCACCCCCAAACAGAAATGAAGCGCTCCCTACACTTTACCTTCCTCTTCGTCATCTTCTGGAGGCGAAGGTATCATCGAACTCTGAGATCCAGACTGTGGCAGGCGGATTGAGGGACTGGCTGTAGTTTTCCTCCTCTCTCTTTCTGATTCACTTTCCAAGCATACAACTTCGTAGAGAGTGTCAGTATTGTTCTTTCTCTCCTTCTGCTTTATCTTGAAGATGAAAAAATGTTATTTATTAAGTGGCAAAATTATTTTTTTAATTGAGCGCTACTTCTGACTTCACATAGGATGTGAGAATAAAAAGGTATTACTTTAAATATCTACACTAAATGTAACCTTTTCTAGATAGAAAAGTATATGTTTAGATTTTAAAACCCTTAGGAAAATAGGGTATTTGCTGAGAAGGACTTAAGTGCTGCAGCTTTCTTTATTGTCCTAAGGCTGTATCATCAAACATCCAACTACCAATATTTATTAAGTGTGAACTAAAAAGTTAACTGTTCGGCAGCTTCCAAGTTACTTTAAGGTGTCCTTCACAGTTTCGTACATAAAACTACACACCAAAAAAGTTGTACAATATTCTAAAACAAAGTTTAGGACTAAGAAAGTCCTCTTATTTCCATGTTTTCCCCTCACACTTTTAGCTTAATTAAAACAGTGTAGGAAACTTTCCTTCACTAAATGTTACAACTGAGGGTGGGGGGAAGAGGTGAGCGACAGAAAGAGATTAATAGAATACACAAAAATTTTGATAACTCAAATTGGCTTGTATTTCGATTTTATTTTGAGGTAAACACGTAACAGTTTAAACTGACTTAAATTAAAAATTAAGAGCAGGGACTGTAAAACTCTACCAGTAAATTAATTAAACATATTAACATTTCATATTACATCCAGTTTGAGGAGGAGGAGGGGGAAAAAAGAGCAAAGTACAGAGCAGGAGGAAACAGCAGAACTGCAGGAAAAGACAGAGAGACAACTAGCAAGGTGACTACACCAAAGAGCAACACATGTGCACATAAAGCGAAAATACAGAAAGGGGGAGAAATAAGAACTTCAGTAGGTGCAGAAATACCAGGCAGAATACATTTTCTCATGTACATTTGGGTTAAGTAAAATTACCCCAATCCTGGAAGGCCAAGATAATGGCAACATGTCCTTTCAATATCATCCTGAAGCAATGTTTAATACAGGAGTCAGTAACCTTTTCTGTAAAGGGCCAAATAGTAAATGTTTTAGGCTATGTGGGCTAGGAATCTCTGGGCAGCTACTCAACTCTGCCATGACAGTGCAAAAGCAGCCACAGACCGTGAGTGAGTACGGCTGTGTTCCAAACACAACGATGGAAACAAGTACCAAGCCAGTTTTGACCCATAAACAATAGTTTGCCAACTTTGTTTTAACATGTCCACCCAAGGATTATTTAATTTTCTTGATGAATAAATGATTTTGACTTAGCTACTTACTATTAATTAAGGACCCAGACTCTGTGAAGTTACATATTAACCTGTAGGTTTGTATCCAGTAGACATGCAAATGATTTCTGTCCAACAGAAAAAGATAACCCAAAGGTCACCTATAGGACATTAACCAGTTTTGTTTCTAACCTAGCAATCTTTTTCTAATATTCTGTTTTTATTTTTATTTTTTATTTTTTAAACTCAGTTCCTCAAATACTTAGAACCAGTTTTACCATCTTACTGATTCCCCCAATACTTAATGAATTGAATTAAAATCTTTGACACGTTCATTCTAAATTTGTAATTATGATGTTTAACTTTTACATATTTATACTTAGATAGAAAATAGGATTTACATTTTTTGTTTTGTTATAAATTACTCTCTGAAACATTAATTGCTATCTGAAATAGTTGAAAGATGAACAATAACATCTTTTAAAAAATTTATCAGAGACTATATAAATGTGATAACCACTGCAGTCCACCTAGAAACTCTGCTGTAATAGTAACCAGAACAATATTGCCTTTGAAGTCAGATAAACACAGAGTCAAGAACAAGACCCCAATGTTAAGTCAAGTCCTCCCGCTATTAAAAATGCGGTTCACTGTTAAAGCTGGGTAACAGTACCCGGGGACTTGTTATACTATTCTTTTTGTTTCTGTATATGTTTTAATTATCTGTAATAAAAAGCTTTATAAAAAGCACTCTTGAAAGACCAAAAAAAGGTAGACTTGAATAAATAGAAAGACGTCACATGGTCTTGGATAAGATCACTTGACATCATACAGATGTCAATTCTCCCCAATAAAAGTACCAATAGTTTTTTCCAGAGCTACAAAAGTTGAATCTAAAGTTTATATAAAAAGTAAACAAGACTATCCAACAAAACCCAGAAAAAGAACAAGTGGGGAGGGAAAGTAGCCCTACCACATATTAAAAGATACTACGAAGTCTATGTAATTAATACAGTGTGGTATTGGAACATGAATAACATAAAAACCAATGGGGAAAAATATATAAACCAGAAAGAGGCCCAAATACACATGCAAATGTAACATATGATAAAGGTGGCACTGCAAATCAATGAGGGAAAAGTTAGACTTTCCAAAGAATGGTATTGGGACAAGTGAATGGCCACCTGGAAAAAGACCGAATCCAATCTATACTTTACACTATACACCAGAATAAACTAATGAACCAGAGATCTATAGTTATAAAATAAAATCATACAAGTAATAAAAGAAAATGTGTAATTTCCTTTATCACTTGTGTTGGGAAAGCATTTTTAATTATGACCCCAAATCCAGAAGCTTTAAAAGAAAAACTTGATAAATTTGAGTACATAAAGAGAAATTGTGTGGCAAAAGCCCAAAAGACCATGGTAATTTAAGTCAAAAGACAAGTGACAAACCAGGAGAAATATTTGCAACTTATGTCTCAAAGGGTTAATCTCTCAAATCTATAAAGGACATGTAAAAATTAAGAGGAAAAGACCAAAACCAAAGAGCAAAAAATATGAAGAGACAATTTACAGAAAAGGAAACAAAAATCACCCTTAAGCATATGGAAAAATGGTTGTTTTCATTTACCAGAGGCTAAATGAAAACTACCATTAGGTCCTTAAGTTCTACAACACATTCTTAAAAAGCCTGTGGAGAAACAGGTACTCTCATACTTTGTTAATCTCAATGGCTACAACCTCTACAGAAGGGAATTTAGAAAATGTAATAAAGTCATATATGCAAAATTACCATGTGTGCCAACAGGAATCTACTTTAATAGGAAGCTGAGATGCACTTTTATAAAATTAAAACAACACAAGGTTCTATATTGCACCATTTGGAATACCAAATGATTGGGGGGGGAAATCCAAGATTCCACCAACAGAGGACTAGTTGAAAAGATTGTGATTTATCCAAACACAGTACTACTATGCAGCCATTAAACAAGAATGAGAAAGATCTCTATGAAGTTATGTGGAATGATCTCCAGGGTATATTAAGTTAAAAAAGCAAGGTGCAGGGCAGATTAACAGTATGATAGTTTTTGTCTAAAAAGGGAGTTAAAAATATATAGAAGTATTTTACTATTTTCACAAAAAGAAACATTGGAAAGATAACCCTGAAACCAATGACAATGGTTACCTATGGAGTTGGCAGGAGACAGATCTAAATGAAGGCAAGAACTCTCAGTATACATTTTAATGTAATTGTACCCTATGAGTATTTTAAATATTCAAAAAATAAATTAAAACAAACTGGGGAAAAAAAAAGCCAAGCCCCCAAACTGAAAGTAGGGAAATAAATAAACCTAACTATATGTCAAATGGTAATATAACCACAATGAAAAAAAATATTTGAAGAAACTGTTGAATGCAGTACTAATTTTATAATCTCACTGAACACGTTCAAAGAATATGAACATGTTCAAAGAAAATCTAAAACTTCACTCCTAATTGCACTACTGCTTTTTTTAAGTGAATATCAACACATGGGAATTTAAAACTCTACAGATTCAAGTAATTTCATATTACATGCCTCTGTTTTTCATATATGCAAAATGAAAAAACTGTAAAAATACATAGGTACTATGGTTACATTAATAGATGTTTCTCCAAAAATTTGTTTAATACACTAAGTATTTTGGAAACCTTTTCATTTAGATGTTTACATACTGATTTTTATATATTGCTATTAAAGTATGGGTTTTATTTCCAATTGAAAGAAACTTGTACAACCATAAGTTGTACATAAATTACAGTGTGGCATTGCATATATTTTTAAAATGGTTTATTAATTGATGCTTAATTACCTACATCAGTAATTGTATTAAAATATAAGCTTTTTCTCATTGGAATTTTAAATAGTTGAAATTTGTATTTCATAAGCTCCTACTCACATAATAGTACCTTTTTTCAACAGACATTTAACAAGTTTATAAAAATTTTGTTATAAATTTGCTCAGAGCAATAAATTAAAGACCATTTACTAAGGGTGTTTCCTGCAACACAGATATTTTTAAGTTCTTTGATGAAGTAGAATAAAGCAAATAACTCAAATATATTAGTTTTAAATGAGATACTCAATATTAAAAAATATATAAATATAAAAGAAAAGAAGAAAATCCTGTAATGTTAAATTACTACAGAAAAATATGTGCATGAACTCAGCTGATTTAAGCAAGAATCATCAATGGATACTAACACCATTAGTTAGGAAGTTGCTGAGGAATAGGATATGTAGAAGTTGCCAAAGTACTGCCCCCAAAGATTACTTGCTAAATGCAAAGAGAAAACTCTACTTTTAGAAAACAACTTTTATAAAGGAGAAATCCAGCGAAGTCAGATAAACCACCTTAACCAATTGATCACACTTCCCAGAAACAGTGGAACAACTAGTTATCATGTACCTACTGATTTAGCTAAACAGCTCTAGTAAACATTTTCGTATTTTTTATCTTGAGAGGTAACAGTGTAAGTTTAGTGTGTGTGTGTGTGTGTGTGTGTGTGTGTGTGTGTGTGTGTGTGCATGTGTGTGTGCTCTCTCTCTCTCTCTCTCTCTAAGAGGCCCAGGGTTCCAATATAGTTATACTGATTACTTGTCTATATGACACTGGCCACATCATTTAGTCTTT